CAATGCAAACTGCCTGTGGCCCATATGCCTCCGCCCATCAGTCAAAGACCTCAGCTCAGGGCCCTGCCCCAGCCCCTCACTCTGCCCCCTGCAGGGCAAAGTCCTCATCATAGGGCCCTGCCCCCAGACCCCTCACTCTGCCCCCTGCAGGGCAAAGACCTTATCGTAGGGCCTGCCCCGACCCCTCACTCTGCCCCCTGCAGGACAAAGACCTTATCGTAGGGCCTGCCCCGACCCCTCACTCTGCCCCCTGCGGGGCAAAGACCTTATCGTAGGGCCCTGCCCCCAGACCCCTCACTCTGCCAAGGCCTCACCACAGGGCCCTGCCCCCAGACCCCTCACTCTGCCCCCTGCAGGGCAACGACCTTATCATGGGGCCTGCCCCGACCCCTCACTTTGCCCCCTGCGGGGCAAAGACCTTATCGTAGGGCCCTGCCCCCAGACCCCTCACTCTGCCAAGGCCTCACCACAGGGCCCTGCCCCCAGACCCCTCACTCTGCCCCCTGCAGGGCAACGACCTTATCATGGGGCCTGCCCCGACCCCTCACTTTGCCCCCTGCGGGGCAAAGACCTTATCGTAGGGCCCTGCCCCCAGACCCCTCACTCTGCCAAGGCCTCACCATAGGGCCTGCCCCAGCTCTATCCTACTGCTCTTGCCTGTTTTTAAGCCTGGCATGGAAGGCCGCACAGGAGGCCCTGCCCCGATTGCAGCGTGGTTTTATGTTGGGTCCCTATGGCGTGTGTGAGGGGATAGTACCTTTACACACCAGTGCATGGCCTAGAAGGGGTTGGTCTCCATCCCTAGGGAGATGCTGCTGCTGGAGAGAGGCTGTCCCAGGGCTTCCCAGACACACAGCGCCTGCTCTATGTAGGAGGCAATGGCGTCAGAGTCTGTGCAGGGCGCCATTCCCCCTAGGAAACGTGCTACTCCAGCCCACCCTCATCACATCATCAGCCCTGAACCTGGGCAGAGTTCTCCCTCCCTACCCCATGGCCGCCATGGCAACCCTTTGCAGCCTCCTGTGCCCTCCCATGACTGCCTCGGACACTGCCATGACATAGTTTCCAGTGACGCACTCCTGGGGTGGGCAGCAGGCCATCTGGGATCCAGGGGTTAAATCTCTCTGCCAACGAGGGCCTGGTGCGCAGGATTCTAAGCCCGAGTTCTGTAGTGTCATCATGTCACAACTCCACCCCAGGGTGCTCACAGACCCAGGCTCAGCAGGTCTTTATAGCTTGAATCCTTGCCTGTGCCCCAGTCTCACGTAGGGGAGATGCTTCCAGTCCAACGGGGCTGTAGTCCCCACTGCTCTGTGGCGCCAGCTGTTACTCCTTCCCCCCAGAGCAGGCAGCGCCCCCTGGCCCAGGGTCCCATGGGAGAGGGCGGTGCTTATTCCACTAGGACCGTCTGCTGGAAAGGAGCTGACCCAAGCAACTCAGAAACACCAATGAAACCCACCAAGTTCTTGTACTGTATGGACAAAACAGCTTGTCCAGCAGGGTGTCTGCACCGCTCACTGCCCATCAGCCAGGGAAGCGTTCGGGGCAGAGGAGTACCCAGGGGTGGTTAAAGCTGAACACCTCCTGTTAACACCCAAACTCCAGGGTCCATGTGGCATCATCGTGGACTGAATTGTCATTTGGAACCAGCATTGCTCCTAACCAAAAGCTGAGGCCAAACCAACCCCAGCCCCTCTCCCCCACACCTGCCTTCCTCCATCAGAAGAGAACAGAACAGCTTTCACTGGAGGAATGACAGGTTGTAGCCTGCTCCCCCAGGGGCCAGGATGCTGTCTGTGCAGCCCCAGGATTGATGAGAATCACAGGATCCAGCGTCTTCCAGGAACTTATCTTCCAGCAAAACAATTTCAGACTCTTCCCTCCAGGTGCTGCTCAGCTCCTGCCGTGGGAATACCAGGGGGCAGGGCAAGTGACTCCCTGCAGCAGGGTCTTTTCAATAAAAGTCTCTGGCTCAAAGGCAGAAGGGTCACTGTGGTGGCTAGTCCAGTGTGTGCAGTGCTTGGGAGCCAGCTGCCACGGCTGAGGGACAGACCCACTAGCACAGGATGGGACGGTGCTGGAGGGCTGGGCAGGGGGAACAGAGGAGAGACAGATTTTGATGCAGGGCAGTGACAATGGCAAAATGGGGGGCAGCAGGGGTTGTATTGGAGCTGAGGAATGGGAGTCCCACTGGCTCTGCTCCTGGGTTTTTCTTCAGCTCCCCACTTGCTGGCTCCTGAAAGAAGAAAGGCCTCCCCTTCCCCAGGAGCTAGGGAGCCTCATGCTCCCACCAGCCGCCTTCGGCACAGACCTGTTCCCGGGGGCAGGGCAGTTCTGGAGACAGCATACTTCTCCCCTTGGGGAGCAGGCCCTCCGCCATCTGTCCATGCCCATCAGGGAGATGGCCTCGCTGCTTCTCTCCAGCCAGCGTGGGCAGTGACCAGAACTGCTGCCTGGGGGTCTCTGCTGATGGCTAGAGCCCAGCGACAATGCTGTTCCTGGCTGAGTCACACGTAGAGGGGATCTCTCTCACCCCCCACCCTGTTGCATGCATGCTCGCTCTCGCATACATGCCCAAGAAGCTGGCAGCCTACCCTCTGCTGTTCTGTGTTATTTGCCAGATCAAAGGGTGCTGGTGATTCCTAGCTCGCGTAGCACTCGCTACCCCATCCTGCCCCGCATTCCCTTGCACAGGACATCAGCCCAGGCTGGGTCCCTACTGGAAGCTGCTGCCAAGGTTTGTGCCAGGAGTCCCTATTGGGGAAGGTGATTCACCCATTGCCCCCACCCCCTCCTTCCCCATGGTCCCACTGCTCTACAGGGCCTTGTAGTGGGAGAACTGGCCCTCCATCTTTGCAGCTCCATGGCACTGATTGGGGCTGCCAGACCACCTGCACTTGGTAGAACAGTAGTTTGACAGAGAAATGGGGCTGGCGGCTGAAGAGGGAACAGCAAAGGCCTCGTTCGCTCCCAGGATGGAGTCTCAGAAAATGGCTGCAAGAGGCGCAAGATGCAGGATCCAGAGCACAGAGAAGAGAAACCTGTGCAGGCTGTTCCCCTGGGTCAGGAGCAGGGCTGCCCCCCGCTGCGTGTTGGGAGGGGAATGCTGAAGGAGATACCAGCTGGCAGAGGGGATGGAAGGGCTTAGACTCTCCTGCTGGGACAAAGGGGCATGCACACCAGGTTATACCAAGTGCAAGCAGAGGGAGGGGGCGTTAGCCAGTGTTCCTAAAGGGACCTCACTTAACGAGATGAGTGTGGGGGGTGGACCGTGGACATCCCACTGTCCCCAGAAGCCCCTGCTGGTAGGGATCACTTGCCCCCTTGCTATCTGGGACTAGGCAGTTTGACCCAGGCTTATAGCCTTTGCTTTCACAGTCATGGAGCTGGGGTGGACAGAT